CAATGAGTGAAAACCAGAGGAATTGTGGGATGACATCAAGAACATCATCCATGAAGAAAGCAAGAAGTCATTAAAAAGACAAGAAAGGAAGAACAGACCAAAATGGATGTCAGAAGAGACTCTGAAACTTGCCATTGAGTGGAGAGCAGCTAAAGCAAATGAAAGGAATGCAAGATAAAAGAGCTCAACAGATTATTTCAAATAGAAGCTCCAGCAGACAAAGCCAATTACTATAATGAAATGTGCAAAGACCTGGAATTAGAAAAACAAAAGGGAAGAACACACTCAGCATTTCTCAAGCTGAAAGAACTGGGGAAAAAATTTAAGTCTCAAGTTGCAATACTGAAAGATTCTATGGGCAAAATATTGCATGATGCAGGACGCATCAAAAGAAGATGGAAGGAATACACACATTCACTGTACCAAAAGAACTGGTCAGTCTTCATCCATTTCAGGAGGTAATCAATAGTATTGAAGGAAGAAGTCAAAGCTGTACTGAAGGAATTGGCGAAGAACAAGGTTCCATGAATTGACAAAATACCCATTAAGATGTTTCAACAAACAGTTGCCCCACTAGAGGCACTCACTCGGCTGTGCCAAGAGATTTGGAAGACAGCTACCTGGCCAACTGATTGGAAGAGATCCATACTTGTATGCATTGCAAAGAAAGGTGATCCCACACAATGTGGAAATTATTGAACAATATCATTAATATTACATGCAAGTAAAATCTTACTGAAGATAATTCAAAACTGGTTGCAGCAGTATATTGACAGAGAACTTCTAGAAATGCTAGCTGGATTCAAAAGAAGACATGGAACAAGGGATGTCATAGCTGATGTCAGATGGATATTAGCTGAAAGCAAAGAATACCAGAAAGATGTCTGCATGTTTTATTGAATGTGCAAAAGCATTCAATTGCACGACTCATAACAAATTGTGGATAACATTGAGAAGAATGGGAACTCCAGAGCACTTGATTGTACTCATGAGGAACCTGTACATAGATCAGGAGGCTGTCCTTCGAACAGAACAAGGGGATACTGTATGGTTGAAAATCAAGAGGGGTGTGTGTCAAGGTTGTATCCTTTCACCATACTTATTCAACCTGTATGCTGAGCAAATAATCCGAGAAGCTGGATTATATGAAGAAGAATGTGGCATCAGGATTGGAGGAAGACTCATTAACAGCCTGCAATACACAGATGACACAACTTTGCTTACTGAAAGTGAGGATGACTTGGATTACTTACTGATGAAGATTAAAGACTACAGTCTGCAGTATGGATTACATCTCAATATAAAGAAAACAAAAATCCTCACAACTAGTCCAATAAACAGCTTCATGGTGGATGGAGAAAATATTGAAGTTGTCAAGGACTTCATATTATTTAGTTCTTCAGTCAACACCAATGGAAGCAGCAGTCAAGACATCAGATAGCATATTGCATTGGGCAAATCTGCAAAAGACCTCTTTCAAGTGATGAAGAGCAAAGATGTCTCCTTAAAGACTAAGGTACGCCTAACCCAAGCATGGTATTTTGAATTACCTCTTATGCATGTGAGAGCTGGACAATGAATAAGAAACACCAAAGAAGAGTTGATGCTTTTGAGTTGTTGGAGAAGAATTCTAAGAGTACCATGGACTGCTAAAAGGACTAACAAATCTGTCCTGGAAGATGTGCAGCCAGAATGTTTCTTGGAAGCAAGAATGGCCAGATTTCATCTCACCTACTTTGGTCATGTTGTCAGAAGGAACCATTCCCTGGAGAAGGATATCATGCTTGGTAAAGTGAAGGGACAATGAAGAAGGGGAAGGCCCTCAACGAGATGGATAGACACAGTGCCTGCAAAGATGGGCTAAGGTATAGCTAGGATCATAAGGCTGGCACAAGACCATGGAGTGTTTCATTATGCTGTCTATAGGATCACTATGAGGCAGAAACACTTCAACAGCACCTAACAACAGCAACATTAGAGGAAGACTCATTAACAACCTGTGATATGCAGATGACACAATCTTGCTTGCTAAAAGTGAAGAGGACTTGAAGCACTTCCTGATGAACATCAAAGACTATAGTCTTTAGCATGAATTACATCTCAACATAAAACAAAACAAAAATCACTGCCATCAAGTTGATTCTGACTCATAGCAACACTATAGGACACTGTAGGACTATAGGACAGTTCTAAAAATAGAACTGCCCCATAGGGTTTCCAAGGCTGTAGGCTTTAACAGATGTGGACTGCCTCATCTTTCTCCCATGGAGAAAATTCCCCCTCAACATAAAGAAAACAAAAATCTTCACAACTGGACCAATAAGCAGCATCATGATAAATGGAGAAAATATTGAAGTTGTCAAGGATTTCATTTTATTTGGATCTATAATCAATACCTGTGGAAGAACCAGTCAAGGGATCAAATGATATATTGCATTGGACAAATCTCCTGCAAAAGACTTCTTTAAAGTGTTTGGGGGTGGGGAGTCACTTTGATGACTGAAGTGCGCCTAACCCAAGACATGTGAAAGCTGGACAATGAATAAGGAAAACTGAAGAATTGATGCATTTGAATTATGGTGTTGGCAAAAAATACTGAAAATACCATGGATTGCCAGAAGAACAAACAAATCTGCCTTGGAAGAAGTAAAGCTGGAATGCTCCTTAGAAATGAGGATGGTGAGACTTCATCTCTTGTATTTTGGTCATGTTATCAGTAGAGACCAGTCCCTGGAGAAGGGCACCATGCTTGGTAAAGTAGAGGGCCAGTGAAAAAGAGGAAGACCCTCAACAAGATAGATTGAGAGAGTGGCTGTAACAATAGGCTCAAACAATGCAATAATTGTACAGGACTGGTCACTTTCCATTCTGTTGCACATAGGATTGCTATGAATAGGAATAGGAATTGACTTGATGGAACCTAACAACATACTTAAAAAAAAAAACCACAACATCAAGTTGATTCCAACTCATAGGAACTCCCATTGGGTTCCTAAGGTGATAAATCTTTACAGAAGTAGATTGCCCCATCTTCCTTCTGCAGAGCAGCTGGTGAATTTAAACCATTAACCTTCTGGTTAGCAGTCAAATGCCTTAGGCACTGCACCATCAAAGCTCCTTCACAATATACTGGAAGGCATTAAAAAACTGAAAACAATAGTAAAATCATTAATAATTACAACACAGTCATTACTATTACATATCAGTACTTCAGGTTTCTCCAAAAAACATCTACTGGTATCTCACTATTCTTTGATTTCTATTTGCCACTATCCTGCTGCTTGAATAAAGCTTTGTGGTACTATATTTTATTACATATTCATAAAGCATAGTTCTCAGCTGTACTAGTAAACACATGACTCTTTTGACATTACTTTATTCTTCATTTAGAGTAGTATCAAGATTGGCCCTACTCTACACCAGTTCTTATAAATAGTCCAACCCAGCACGCATCACAGTAGAATCTCAGTTGGGAAAAAAAAAGTCATGAATTGTTCCAAATGTTATGAAATGTTTGTGTATCTATCCATGCAACACATACTTACAACACACTTATAATACAAAACAAACTCACTGCCATCAAGTCGATTAGACTCATAGTGAGGTTTGAGTTTCTGAGGCAGTATCTCTACGGAAGTAGATTGCCCAATCTTCCTTCCAAGGAGTGGCTGGTGGGTTTGAATAGCCAGCCTTCTGGTTAGCAGTCCAATGCCTTAGGTACTATGCCAGCAGAGCTCCCTATAATACATACACATACATGAAAATTCCCTGCATTCAAGAAGCTTGTAATACCTTAAAGAAATGAAACTTGTATGAAATAATATTTAATTTAGAATGATATAAAAATGTGCCTCTAATTGAGAATTGTTACCTTTAGCATTTGAAGTATGAAACATGTGTTCTATTGTTTCTGATCAGGTTGGATTGCTTTGGGTTCTGGTTTGGTGAAATCTTATTGGTAAAAGCATTCACTCATATATTTATTCATACATTAATACTTGCAAGAACAAAGCATAAAATCCTGATAAAGGAATACACATACATAACAGCATATACACTTTTATATAGACAATTATATTTTATTTTTGTAAATCCAAATATTTATTCCTTAATATTATAAAATAAATTTTTATTGCACTAGTTCCATGTGCAATCCCTGTGTAAGGCACAACAAATATGAATAAGAATAAGGTATGCTCCCGACCCTACCTGGAAGAATGTTACATTATCATAATATGACAATTTATTGGCAGCAACCACTTTTTTTTTCTCCCTAATTCAAATATCAGAATTGTTTTTTTGAAAATGAATGTACCCAGAATAATGGAAGATTCCTCTCTGGCAATAGAAGCCTTGTTTTTTGAACAAATCAATCGAGGAGTTATTTTACCAAGGGCTTACAACAGATCAGAAGAATGTTTATCTCATTAATCCTGGAGGAAGAATTTCCTCTTTTCCATGGTTCATAGACTTAGCGGAGTCAGGAAAGTTAACTGGATTTAAAGTTTCTTGTAATGATTTTTTTTGGTGGGTTTTTTTTTTTTTTTTTTGGTTAAATACATATGAGTTTTCATTTTATTAATAATGGCATCAATGTAAAAAAAATAATGACATCAATGTGAAACATACATTTATTTATAAGTATTGCTATATTCCTAATAATTCACATAAGAGAGAACAAACTATACCTTCAGTTTCTGGAGAAACATTATCTTATTTTTGAAGTTTCTGAATGTTATTGGGTACATCTCCCTAAGAGAACATTATTTTACTAATATCAAAACATAATAAAGAAGGTAATAAAGAAGAAAGATCCACTTGAGAAAAGCATGAAGAAGAAACTCAAAAAGCCTAAAAAAGGACATGAAATTTGGGAAAGTCATAGGACTTTGCCAAGTGGAAATCCTTCTGAATTCTCCAAGATTGTTAACTCTTAGAATTTTAAGTGAGAGATTAACAATGCACTTAAAATATGATCTTTCATTATTATTTGCTTCTAGGTATCGACTCATTGGTCACTCCTCTGTTACATGCATTATCTCAGGCAAGAAGGTCGAGTGGGACAATGTGGCACCTGTTTGTGATAGTGAGTTGAAATATTCCTTCCCATTTACTTTTACAAATAGACCCTACTTCCCCCTGGAATTACAAAAGTCTTAATCAAATTCACTTTGTGCATTTCTTCATTTAGAGAGCTGAAGATAGCTGTAATGTTCTCAAAAATACCTATGGTGTTCTAGACAACATTTTCTTTATTTCTTATCCTGGGATGTAGTTTTTCTGGATCTGGGGAATTAAATTCATAAAAGCCTTCGAACCTCATTCTCACTTCAGGTGACATGCAATTATGTTGGTTCTACCATCCCCAGTACAATTATTATTATGGTTGGCAACTTAGTAAAGATTTTCTAAAATGATAACTATCCTTCCTTAGCAAAGCTGCAGAGGAATAAGCACTCTCATGTACCACTAGTGAAAGTGAAGCAGACAATAAACCTTTGTGAAAGGGCTTGAAGCCTCAAAAAAATGGGCATATATTTTGATCCACAGCTTAGAATTTATATTTTGGAAATAAACAGATGTTTTTGCAAGGAGTTCATTACAAAGTTTTTATTGGAGCATTCTTTTAAAAGTAAAAAGCTTAAAGTAATCTAAATATATTACATGTTTCAAGCTATGGTTTGAAAATTATCTACTAGAAGGAATGAGACATGTTGAAAGTGACCATAAACAATTTCCTAAGCAACATAAAATAGCCACGCAGAATTAGAAGTATGTCTTTACAATGGAATGTTATTCAGCTATTAGAAAAAGAAAAGATATCGCAGAAAAGCACCTCATGACATGCAATGATGTTTATTCCTTTTATTTTATATGAAAAAAAATCAGATAAAATGGCACATTTGGCAAAATCTCCTTTTAAGCTGTAGAACATCTAGACTTATATCTATATTTTGACTTCTATTAATAGTTCTGTAACCTTTCCATATCCAAACACTGATAAATGCTTATAAGTCCCTTTAGGGAAGAAGAAGACTGGGCAATCTACTTCCGTAGTGATACTGCCTCGGAAACCCAAGGAGGGGTCGCTATGACTCAGATCTGACTTGAGGGCAATGGGTTTTATGGTGCAGGGTCTTCCTCACAAAGATCCAATCTCCCATTCATTCACTGAGCTCTGAAGCTGTTCAAGTCTGAGAATTGGTTGATTAACCATGATGGTATTGCACAGTAATTCAAGTCAGACTTATGTTCACCAGACCTATATCTTTTCTGTTCATATAAATCAAACAGAACTTTAGTCAGCTACTCATCTTCTTCAGTTTTAGAGACACCCTAATCAATTACCCAACACCAAAGATCTCTGCAGTCAAATTATTCTGATTGTCACTTCAGCTCTGCTATCCATTATGATGCATTACCTTGAGTCTGGTGATTAAGTACTCCCAGTTGTCCCCTGCCACTCTAAGATCCCATCATCCCCACTGAATTCAGGAGGCCGAGTTCAATGGCAACAACTCCCACAGTTATTCTTGGCCTACAGAGAAAAGCCATCACAGAACTCTTTAAGTATGCCAAAACTCCCTTCATGAATGTGTACCTCGAAGTCTTGGGTGAAGGTTCTATCTTCCAAACGCCCTGCCAGCAGATATAGTTAGAAAGTGGGTGAGCAAGCCCTCATGATAAATCTACTCTAGCATTCCAGTCTCCCTAACTATAGTATTTCTTCTTCTGTGGGACACTAAGGAAGTTCTGGCATTTCAACTTCACTCCCTGTAGACCACCACTGTATGCAGGTTTCAATCAACCAACGAAGCATACTATTAGAGCCTCTCCTAGTTGCTCAAACTAATACTTTGAATCCAGAATCTCAATCCTTTTGGTGTCTTTCACATCCTCAAAGGACTAATTTTTACTCTACCCCATTCCAGGGCCTGCCAGGACTTGAGCCTGGTTGTAAGACTACAGAACCTGGTGACAGTAGGTCCTGAGTTATTGCTATCCTAACAACAACAATTTATCCTAGGCTCTGGTAGCATAGTGCCTAAGCACTTGACTGCTAACCAGAAGGCTGGCGGTTCAAACCCACCAGCCACTCCTCAGAAGGAAGATGGGGCAATCTACTTCCGTAGTGATACTGCCTCGGAAACCCAAGGAGGGGTCACTATGAGTCAGGTCTGACTCAACGGCACATAACAACAATAAAAACCTGCAGGTAGGATTATAAGATTTAGGAAATAAAAATGCAGGATGCCTAATTAAATTTGAAGTTCAGATGAACAAAAAAATAATTTAATATTTGGGACACACTTATACTAAGAAGTTTTTTGTTGTTTATCTGAAATTCAAATGTAACTGAGTATCCTGTATTTCTTCCTAGCAACCCTTTCAGAGCAACTAACTCAAGAGAGGCCAATATAGTTTGTTCAGGCAATGGAAGGCTTATCTCCTCAGGCAAGGAAGGAAGGGCTGCTTATCTACTAGTAAAGGAGGCTCAGCAGAATTTCAGGGTTCAAGGTATTCAGCTTCATTAGAATTTGTCCATATGTCTTCATTCTAATTGTCAGGGTCCCACTTCTTCTCAATGCCTAAACATTAATATAAGACATCCTGTGAGGTTGTAAATCCAATTCACACTGGATTTGTTTTTCAGAAATCTTGGCCCTGTGACTACAAGATATGTTCCTTTTGGAACATATATAGAAGGATTTAGATTCAGATATTAAGCAGGAATTAAAAATCCTGAAGTCATTCTTTTTAACTTTAAGTTCTCCAGTGTACTTAGAAGCAATCAACCACCCCATTATATACCTTCCCTAAAATGTTCTATAGCAGTAACTACTTGGTCACTATTCTATAGGTGACAAAACTGTTTTGTCATTGCATACATAAACTATTTGTGTGCCCTTGTTCATTGGTACATTAAGAAGAATCTCCTTAATCTAATCATATTAGAGAACTGATTCTAAATTCCCATCTTTAAGGGAAGGATAAAAAAGGATGAATTTTGGTCCAATCAGGGAAACAGAGCTACTACCAGTATTATGAACTAAAAGATTTATTGTAAGAATTAGACCTTACCCAATTATAGGAGGAGCTGATCTAAAAATATCAGAGAAAAGTCACTAAACAGCCCACAGGTAGGAATGAGTGAGCTTTCGGGAAACAAGGCATATGTGACTGCTGCAGTAGAACGGTAAAGGATGCTGGTGTGGAAATTTATAAACGGTTGTGGCTCTTGTGCTATTGCTTCTGTGGTTTGATTTCACAGTGAAGCATTAGGAGTGGTCTGGGATCACTGCTGGTCAGTAAGACCAGCAGTTGAGAAGTATGGCTGGATACAGAGGGCAGGAAAGCAAGGACAAACTGGAACCGGCAGCACCTCTATCTGTCCCCAGTCATCTCTAGCAATGATGACCTTCAGAGTGGAATGGCTGCTGCTTCATATCTGTCTCTCAAATCTCATGCCAATTTCTTTTGCTCCAACTAAACCAAAATTATTCAGGTAAAGTAAGCTTGGGAAACTTAGTTTCAACTTAGGAGCTCTGGTAGCATAGTGCCTAAGGTACTTGACTGCTAACCAGAAGGCTGGCAGTTCAGACCCACCAGCCACTCCTCGGAAGGAAGATTGGGCAATCTACTTCCATAGTGATACCACCTCGGAAACCCAAGGAGGGAACACTAGAGTCAGGTCTGACTCGAGGGCACATAACAACAACAACAACAGTTTCAACCTAACTAGGTTGACACTATACAAAACCACCACACAATGATAATTTTTCCCCCTTTGTTTTATACTGTCTAGGACCAACAGGATTTTTTTTTTTTTTTTTGCCCCTATCAATTTTTCTATACCATGTGTTTACTTTTAATTGAAGTATAACATATATGTGCACAATATAATATATGCACAATATAACATATGCACGACTCTTAATCATGCAGTTCAAAGAATTTTTACCAAGTCAACAACACACCCCTGTAAATAGCACTCAAATTACAATAAAGAACATTATCACCACCCCCAGAAGCCTCCCCAAACCCTGTCCTAGTTATCTTCCTAAAGTAACCATTACTCTGACTTCTGTCGCTATGTTAGTTTGCCTCTTCTTGAATTTTACCTTGTTGTTGTTGTTATGTGCCGTCGAGTCGGCCCCGACTCATAGCGACCCCTCCTTGGGTTTCCGAGGCAGTATCACTACGGAAGTA